TTCCTTAACAGCAACCCAGTAACTTTGAGAACTCTTCATAGTTGATGGAGCCGTCTCCTGAGTCATCCACGGTCTGGAAGAGAGTTTTTACCCTTTTTGTGTAGATGGCCAAATCTCTTTCCTTCTGCTTGAAAGCAATTTCTTCGTCTGTACTTGCGACCTTCATCGCTTGCTGAACAAACACCGCACTCACAACATTCAGGACGGAGAAGCCAAAGACACACCGATAGAGCAAGAAGAAGACGGAGAACCACTCGTTAATGTCTTCAACGAGAACACGACAAGGCGGTCCCCAGTTGGCCTTAGGGTTTATAAGGCTTAGGGCTTATAGGGTTTACAGGGCTTCGTTCCCACAACTCCAGGGATCAACAAAACATCAAAACCTTCAGGAGGAGACTAACTGGTAAGAGACCCAAAAAGTTAAAAAAAGCTCCCTGTTTGACCGGTCGCAAAGAGCACTTCAAACATTGTCAGGATCGCTCTTGTGAATGTACCATAGTATGCGAAGACCTCCTGCCTGAGTTCGAGCCTATAGCCTGGATCAGCAATGTAATCGCGGCACAAGGTGCCCAGAACCATTCCGGCAACGCATTGCAGAAAGAAGAGCAAGCACATGCTCCAGAAAAGTATGTTCGTGCTGCCCGCCACACATTTGATGAGCAGCTGCAAAGAGGCAAGGACACTGGTCATGGTTATCATTCGAATGGGGCGAGCCAACTTTCCAATTCGGATCAACCGCAAGAGGCCCAAATTTATTGGCAACGAGTTCGTGTACTCTAATGCGACCTGAAATATGGCGGCTGCACTCACCACAACGTCCACGTAATTACTCCACACTTTCCAGAACTCGATTCTCAAGAAAATGATCCGCACCATGACCTCTATGGCGAAAAATGTCGCGAAAATTGTATCTCCAGCCATGAAGACCGGGTCCAGCGGAGTTGACACGGGCTTGGTCAAGTCCACAGTACTAGTCGGGCTCAAGGCATCCCCCAGGACACCTCCATGGACCTGTAGCTGCGCAGCCATCCAAAGCACATTCAAGAGCAGGGCTACGGCGATGATACCTTCAAACGCCGTCGACTGAAGTCGCGATGCAAATCTCTCATGCCAAGGTCTTGAATCGAACAGTCCGGTGTCAGTTTCATAGCTGTCATCTTGCTCCGACCGGTTTGACCGGTCGAATGAGTTCGCACGAAAAACATCATATGGTGATTCTCGTTCCTGAGACGGAGTAATGTCGAGCGCACCCAAAAGATCTGCAGCCTGCATCTTCTTCGCAGAAGATGGCTTTCCTCCTGATTTCCTTACTCTGCCTTGCCTGCTAGGCTTGCTCAAGCGACTCAAATGACTCAAATGTGAATTCACATGTCCGACAGCAGAGCCGTCAGGATCCAAGTCCTGCTTGAGCTTTTCCACTTCCGCTTGAAACCTCTGTATGCGCCGCTCCTTTGCCAGCAGCTCCTTTAAGTGCTGATGAACAATTCGGTCGACGAGGGATTGAAAAGCATTTGAAACATCCAGAGACCTAGGTTCCCCAATAACCCCTTTAAAAAAAAAGGCTGCCCTTTTTTCTGTTATTCACTTTTGATAGGGCGGCCCCAGGATAAGAAGGGAAAAGGGTACTGCTGGTGTACCTAAAGACGCAACGCTGTCCGTGGGATCCGTGGGAGCTGGAGCGTCCGAGGCGTCTGCGGCTTCTGAGGGCTGGTTGCACTTCCTATGGAGGACTTGGAACCCTAGTAAAAATTATAATTTTTGAAAGTTCCTTAGGATTATAATAAGCAAAAAGTAAAAAATACTTCCCAAGTGCCCCTAAGCTTCAGGTCCAGGAGCCCATCGAAAGGAAGATGCGCAGACATCGCACAGCTCGTGTTAGGCCGTGCTATGCGGATAGCTTGAAACTGTTTACGGCTAAGTAAACTCTATGAACCATAAACCCTAAACCCTAAAAAACCCTAAACCCTAAACCCTAAAAACCCTAAACCCTGAACCCTAAAAACCCTAAACCTAGGGGACCAACCTGCTAAGGCCGACGTGAACCACTATTTTGCAAGTTCAAGGGTTTGCAAGCCGACAGATTTGCGCACGTACGCGAACATATTGCTCAAACATACGGTTAAGGGTTTAGAGGGTTTAGGGGTTAAGTAGGTTGACAGTGGTTCGCTTTCTCACGGTTGCGACTTCAGACAAACAGCACGGACAGTAGGCCTGGATCCGCAGTCGGGTTGTATATGCCTTCTTGCTGGTTGCAGCAGAAGAAAAGCACGAAACCCTAAACCCTAAACCCTAAAACCCTAACCCTAAATAGCAGTTTCCGTTTTCTTTTCCATTATCCCTATAAAACCCCAATGTAACCCCATAGTACCATGCAGCTTTATGTTCAATGTGGGCAGCAACAGTTTGCGCAAAAGGGCGAAGCCCGGCTCATATTTGTGGGGACTTAGTAAGTAGGTTCCCACATAGCCCTATAACCCTTTCTAAGGGTTCTAGAAGCCCTTTAAAGGGTTTATAGGGCTATGTAGGGAGATGTAGGGTTTAGGGTCAGGGAGACTTAGTAAGTAGGTCAAGAACAAGGATATCTGGGGTTACTACAGGGGCTATAACTAGGCGTTGCAGGTATACTATTGGGGCCTAGATTATTACGATAATTACTAATATCATTTTGAGGTCCATTTGAGGTACCCTATACTATAGTTATATAAGGAATATGGAACCATAATATTGGTAATTATTTAGGCCCCTATATTAGAAGGCGAGGCCCTTAGAAGTGTCTTGCAGAAGGGCGGGTCTGTGAAGAAGGCTTAGGACTGTATGTGC